ACACAGCAAGGGTATCAAATGAGGGTGTGAAGACATTCAATTATAAAATTTTACTATGATGCAGATCATCCAAATTTATTACCTCTTATTACTATGGATCGGCGGGAAATGTCCTGTGACTGATTGTAAACATACGGAGAGTGCGCAGAAAATGCACAGTAATAGTTTTCAGAAATGCACAAAAAAACAGAAATTCCGTTGTTTTTTGGAGAAGTGGTGTAATAAATGCAGAAAACCTAATACTAAAAACACACAGAATTTTACTCTCTATGTGTTTTCTGAAAACTAACGCTAAGGACATTTTTTGTGTGTTTTCCGTGCGTTCTCCCATATGTTTCTTATGTAAAACGTGCTCTTTGCAGGAAGATTCCATACATGTCCTGTTTTGGTATTGTATTTCCCGTGTATTTTCTGTAAAAGATTTTTTATAGGAAGTTGGGAAGCAATTGTGTTATCCCCCATTACCTTGACATCATAAACCCCGATCACAATAATAGCTTAGCTAGAAATAAAAAATATACAAGGTGATATTAAAACAAGTCCTATCACAATAAAACTCTTGTTGTTGCCACAAAAATTCTAGTCTTGTATACAAAAACAAAGAAAAGAAAATGAAACACCCAGCTAATTCCAAACAACGTTGGAGGAAGCTAAAAATCATTGTTGAGAAGATTATTTAAGGAGGAGCTATGAAATGCATTAATCCTAGAATGACAATTGTTGCACGTAGAAGTTGAATAATTTTGATGGTATGTACAGCCAAACCTCGTTTCAAAAAATCTATAGGGGAAACATAAGAAATTGCATTTAAAATTTGTTTTGACAAATTTTATGTTTTTATATGTAAAGCAAGTGAAGCAAAATTTATTAAAAAAATTTGTTGTAACGCGAATTTAATTATTGAAGGTTTAGCTGTAGATCATCATATTAATAGGTGGTGTTACAATCAATGATCTTTTTGTAATAAATAAATAAAGTGTATCGTTTTTTTTTTTAAATAATATTCCACTTTTTACCAAAGAAAATTTGAATTACATCTATAAATGGATAAACTCAAAGAGGTAAACAAATGTTTTCAAAAAGATTGACTTAATAAAGACATTCTATAATAATAAAATAATTAATATTATTACTTCTTATTGTTCATAGAAAATAAATACACTTAGAGATGAACGTGATGCAGCAATTTCTAGTAGTGAAGAAGTAAAAAGTGAAAATAAGAAAGTTCAAGATGAGCTCACTGCTAAAGAGCGAGAAAATCATTCTCTTACAAAGAAAGTTGCACAACTTGAGTCTGACCTGGATGAAGCTCTAAAAAAATTGAAAGAAATTACTGAAAAGTAAGGGTTTGAATTATTATTAGATTCATAGTACTGATATATTTACTAATATATGTATATTTTTATTTATAGACTTCGTGAGATTGATGTTAAATCAGAAAGTCAAGAACGTCATATTGCTAAACTTGAAGAAGAATGTACAGAAAAAGATGCACAAATAGAAGAAAAGAAAAAGGCATATGATGAATTAAAAAATGAATATGATGAAACTATTAAACATCTTGATAAT